TTAAAAATCTGTTCCTGTGGTTAGCTCTCTTTCATTCCTGTTATTGCTTATTTATGCTTTCATTTTTCTTAATAAATCATGTCAGATCTTTGTGTATTTAAATGTCAGGTTTTATTATTTCTGTTTTATCTTTAGTATTTCCTTCTTTACGTTTTTACTGTATTTTCTCCGTTATTCTTTCTCCAGCTTATTAGTTTGGATGCTTAGCTTGTAATTTTTAGTCTTTCTGCTTTTGTAACATAAAAAAATTGGGGGGAGGTGACAGAAACATTTATGGCTAAAAATTTCCCTCTGAGGTTTGCTTTGGCTGTACCCCATTCATTCTGACAAGCAGTATTTTCATGATCATTTAGTTCTAAATATTTTCTAATCTTTGTGTGAGTTACTTGGAAGTATGTTAAAATTTCCAAATATTTGGGGAGTGGTTGATCTTTCTGTTACTGTGTCCTAATTTAATTGTTCTGAAGTCAAGGAACGCGGCCTGTACACGGTCAGGTTTTATAAACGTTGCACATGTATTTGTAAACTGTGTACAGTATCTGATTTTTCAGGCATACAGTTCTGTATTCAGCCATTAGGTCAGGCTTGTTAGTGATGTGTTTAAACTTGTGTATATATTTACCAAAATCTTACCGGTTTGATTCGTCAATTACTGAGACATGTGTTTATATCCCCCACTGTAATTAGGTACTTGCCAGTTTCTCATGATAATACTGTTCACTTTGCTTTCCTTGTTTTTAAGCTGTGTTATTGTGTAGGCACAAGTTCAGAATTACAATGTCTTTCTGGAACCTGGCCCTTTGACAGCAGCAAGTATTTAGACAGTACAGCATGCCAGTGTTTTCTAAGTGCTCTCACTGTGTTAACTTACTGGCCCTTCATAACAATTCTATGAAGTAGGGGCTATTACTGCCCCCATTTTGCAGATGGGAAAACTGAGCACAGAGACATTAAGTAACTTGACCAAGGTCACCAGCTTCTGAGTGGCGGCATCGGGACTTGGAGCCGGTTAGTCTGGCTCCAGCAGTGTGCTCGTAACTACTAGGCTGCACTGTCCCTTGTTATTTGGGGAAGTTCTTTATGTCTGATCATTTTCTTGGGTATAAGGTTTATTTTTTCTAATGTTAGTATAGCCATGCCAGCTTTTTAAAGTTAATATTTACTTGGCTTATTTACATAAATGCATTAAAAATATACATTTTTTTCAGCCTTTCACTTTAAATCTTTTCAGTGTTTTAGAGATATTTCTTATAAAAGCATATAGCTGGGAATTTTAAAAAATCTAAGCTAATGATCTCAGTTATTAAAAGGACATTTACAGTGATCACTGATCTGTTTAGCTTCTTTTTTTAACCATCCATTGCTCTCTGGCTTCTGCTACTTCTGACGAGAATCCGCTGTCGGTCTGCCTGCTGTCCTTCGTTTTGCCGTCTGGTTTCTCTGAAGATCGTTTGCTTCAGACGCTCTCCAGGTTCACGTCCAAGCATCTAGGAGCGTGCTTATTTTCACTCATCCTGCAGGATTCGCTGCGACTCCTGAATCTGTGGATCGGAGAATTTCTTTCACGGTTTTGGAAATTTTTCAGCCAAAATTTCTTTTCTTGTGTTGTCCTCACCCTTTCATGCCTCTCCTGGAACTTCTGTTGGGCCCACTTTGGACCTCCCCAGTCCCTCACCTTGTCGGTCGATCTCTCTTTCACACATCACAGCCCCCAGCTCTGTCTGCTGCCTTCGAGAGAACTTGCTATGTCATTAAATTTATTGTCTCTTTAGTTACGTCTCATGTGCTGCTTAATCCAGCTATTAATTTTTTTCAATGCCTTGAAATCTGAAATTCTTTTTAAAAAAAATCTTCATTTTTTTGGCATTGACTGATCATTTTCTTGTGTAACATTTAATTCCTTTAATGACTTTCAAACTGTTTTTTGAGTTATCAGTGGTTGCTCCAGAGCTAATAATATACGTCTTAGCTTATGATTTACACCAGTTTATACCACCTTCACTTCAGCAAGATGTAAAAGCAGCTCCCATATGTTTCCACTTCCTCCTTCCCTTTTCAGTGCTGCGTTTTTTTGTGGGGGGAGATAATTAGGCTTGTTTCTTTATTCCTGGAGGAGGCACTGGGGTTCGGACCCCTTGAGCTGCACCTCCCCCCTTTTTCCTGCATTATCATCACATATATTATATCTCTATATGTTGCAATATACATTTTCTAATTATTACTTTACATAAAAGTTTTATGTCTTATTTTTTAATCTTTTCATGAACTAACCTTTTTTTTAAACATTTTTTATTGATTTATAATCATTTTACAATGTTGTGTCAAATGCCAGTGTAGAGAACAATTTTTCAGTTATACATGAACATACATATATTCATTGTCACATTGTTTTCTCTGTAAGCTGTTATAAGATCTTGTGTATATTTCCCTGTGCTATACAGTATAATCTTGTTTATCTATTCTACATTTTGAAATCCCAGTCTATCCCTTACCACCCCCCGTCCCCTTGGTAACCACAAGTTTGTATTCTATGTCTATGAGTCTGTTTCTGTTTTGTATTTATGCTTTGTTTGTTTTGGGTTTTTTTTTTTTTAGATTCCGCATATGAGCGATCTCATATGGTATTTTTCTTTCTCTTTCTGGCTTACTTCACTTAGAATGACATTCTCCAGGAGCATCCATGTTGCTGCAAGTGGCACTATGTTGTCAGTTTTTATGGCTGAGTAGTATTCCATTGTATAAATATACCACATCTTCTTTATCCAGTCATCTGTTGATGGACATTTAGGCTGTTTCCATGTCTTGGCTATAGTAAATAGTGCTGCTATGAACATTGGGGTGGAGGTGTCATCCTGAAGTAGGGTTCCTTCTGGATATATGACCAAGAGAAAAGTTTTATGTCTTTTAAAGAAGATGAGATCTACTCTCCCTCTACCAGAGAGAAAATATATTTATTTATAAAGCTTGTCATATCAAAATTCTTGTTTACCATTTCTGGTTCTCTTCACTGGGAGGATTCAAGTCACCACCAGAAATTTGTCATTTTATCACAGCTGTGTCCACACCCCTCCTCTGTGCTGTTATTGTCAAAGATACTACATTTTTATGTGTTAAAGGCCCAACAGCACGATGCTAATTATATGGTTTTATGCAATTCCTTTTTTAAAAGACAGGTTTTAAAATAGCAGTTTTAGGTTCACAGCAAAAATCGAGAGGGAAGTACAGAGATTTCCCATAAAGCCACACCCCCCGGCGCATGATGCACAGCCTCCCCCATCATCAGCAGCCCCGCCAGACGGCACGTTTGTTACACCTGAGGAGATGCGTGGACACGCACCGCCCAAAGCGCACAGTTTACGTCAGGGTTCGCTCTCGGCACCGCGGTCTGTGGCTCTGGACGAGTTACAGGGGTGCGTGTCTAGAACAGTGTCAGGCCGAGTATTTTCGTGGCCCTGAAAGTCGCCCGTGCGCCACCTGTTCATCGCTCCCCCTCCCCCCCAGCAAGCACTGATCTTTTTACTGTCTCTGTGGTTTTGTCTTTCCCAGAGTGTCATGCGGTTGGAATCCTACAACATGTGACCTTTTCAGATTGGCTTCTTTCATTTAGTAATCTGCATTTAAGTTCCCTCCATGTCTTTTCGTGACTTGAAGCTCATTTATTTTTAGTGCCGAATAGTCTTACACTGTCTGGCTCTTCTCCAGTGTATTTCTCCACGTACCTACTGCATGGCATCTCTGTTGCTTCCAAGTTCTGGCCGTTGTGAGTAAGGCTCCTGTAAATACCCACGTGCAGGTTTTGTGTGGAGGTGAGTTTTCAGCTCCTTTGGGTGAACATCAGGGAGCACGACTGCTGCGTTAGAATTGTTTAGTTTTGTAAAAATGCCAACTATCTTCCGAAGCAGCCGTGCCATCCTGCACGGCCGCCAGCCACAGAGGAGGGTTCCTGTTCTGCGTGCTCGCCAGCGCTGCTGGTGTCAGTGTCCCCGACCCTGGCGGTTCTGGTCAGGTGTGTGGTGGTACCTCGCTGTTGTTTTAAGTGCCTCTCCCTGATGACGTAAGACCTGGAGCATCTTTTCCTGTGCTGATTTGCCATCTGCATGTCTTCTTTGGGGAGGTGCCTATTAAGTTCCTTTGAGACTTTTTTTTATATGGGTTGCTTGTCATCTGTGGTTGAGTCTCGTGTGTGCTTTGGATAACAGCCCTTTATCAGGTGTGTCCTTTGCAAATACTTTCTCGCAGTCTGTGGTTTACCTTCCCGTTCTCTTGACAGTGTCTTTTGCAGAGCAGACATTTAACATTTTTACGTCCAGCTTCCCGTTCTTCCTTTCTTAGATCACAGCTTTGGTGTTGTATCTAGAAGTCATGGCCAAACCCAGGATCACCTAGGCCTTCTCCTGCGTGATCTGCTTTACATTTAGGCCTGGGATCCACTTTGAGTTAATTTTTGTGAAGGGTGTAGATCTGTGTCTAGATTCTTCTTCTTTTTTCATGTGGATGCCCAGTTGTTCCTGCACCATTTGATGAAAAGAGGCAATTACTTTTTAAGTAAGTGATAAGAAAGGAGAAGAAATACGCAGTTACATTGTTTTCTGTAAGTACCTACCTAGTGACCTTTCCTGGCAATCTTTGTGTTCTTGGCGAGCATGGATCTGAATGATTGCTTCCAGCCTGAAGCGCCTCCCTCAGTGTAGTGTTTCTTTCTAAGGCAGGTGTGCCAGCAACAGGCTTCTCAGGTTTTGTTTCTCTGGAAATGTCTTCATGTCACCTTCACTGTTGAAAGGCAGTTTTGCTGGATGTAAGAATCTTGTTTCACTTCCTCCTTCAGCACTTGCAGTGTGTCTCCCCCCGCTTTCTGGTCTCCACTCTTTCTGATGAGAAGCTTGCTGTTAATCTTGCTGGGATTCCCTGGTATGTGACATAGTTTTTCTCTTGCTGTTTTCAAGATTTTCTCTGTGTCTTTAGCTTTTGACATGTTGTCTATGACGTGCCTGGATGCGAGTCTCTGTGCGTACCCTGCTTGGAGTTTGTTGAGCTTCTTGGATGTGTAGATTCATAGTTGTTTTTTTTAAATCAAATCTGAGACATTTTTCAGACATTATTTCTTTGAATTTCTTTTTCTGCGCCCTCTCTCTCTCCTCTCCTCCAGGTACTCCCACCGGGTGCCTGTTCACGAGGTCGGTGGTGCCCCACCTCTCTCCCAGGTTCTGTTCGTTTTCTTCTGAATTCCCTTCTCTCTGTTCTTCGGTGTTTGGCCCCTGCCAGTGTGTCTGGGCTAACACCGGGACTCCTTCACCAGAGGGTCCTGCACGCCTGTGGGTGCAGCCTGGCTCTGGGGACTGGGGGCTCTGAGTGGTGGGCAGAGAGCGTTGTCTTCAGAGCGCTCTCAGAGGAATCCTGAAGTTTCACATCCTCACAGGCCGAAGCTTCGCAGACTCATCCTGCTCCAGGGTCCTCGCCAGCTCCCCGGTCATTTTTTGGGAGTTGGCACGGTGCTGTGCCTTTCCACAGGGGCCCCCAGAAGGCTCCACACAGCCTCCGACAGCTCCCGGTGGTACCTGCTGTGAAGGCGGAGGGCAGCAGTGATGCAGGGACAGCAGGTCAGTCAGGAACAGGCCTTGGCTCAGTGCTGAGGGGCCGCCCTGCCCGCTGAACTTTCCTGTGCTGCTGGGCTGATCTGGGACGTCTGCCCTCCCCCTGGCCTGCCTACGGCTGCTCCAGGAGGGCAGTGACCTTGGCCTTTCCCCTCCAGGAGGACCAGGGTATCAGGTCTCCAAACAAGCCTTACCCAGTGCCCCCACCCCCATTTAACAGGTGCTTAGAGAAATAATTTTTGGATGAAAACCTGCTTAGTTTGTCCTTGTCCCCGAGGATGGAAAGGAGGGTTGTGGGTGAGTGAGAGCACTGGGCTGAGAGTCAAATCTCAGCCTAACTCTGCCCTGTACTGGCTGTGTGACTGGAAGTCAGCTGCTCCACCTCTCTGTTTCCAGGCCCGGGTGCTTATGAGCTGCTCAGTGACTATGTCTTCCCCTTTCCAGTTCCTCGTGGCATGTCTGTACTCACTTATTGTACGACAAAGTCTTTTTAACTTCCTTCTTCTCATCTTGGCCACATCTTTGCCAAGCCCTCTCCAGGCTGAAGCGAAGGCTCTGTGTGTGCGCGCACGTGTGTGCGCGGTGTGCACATGGCAGATCAGACACAATCCAGTGCAAAACGGGTACCCCTCCGGCATTCTGACTACCAGGTACCGTGTTTTGCGCCCTGATTTCTCATCCTTATTATCTGTGGTCTCTTTGTTCAGGAATAAAAAGGAAAATTGGGCTAAAGACTCTCATACAGAAGTTAATCTGAGCGATTGAAGCCCGCTTCCCAGAAACGCAAGGATGACCTCAAAGGGCTGTTACCCCGGAGTTACCAGGGAGGACACCTGTCTCCGGAGGCACTGGCGGGTGAGAGCAGGCGGGGGGCGCTGGAGGGCTGGGGTGGTGGGCAGGGGCCGGGCGGGGCGTGTTCTCGGCGTTCCCTCCAGAACCCCGTTCTCTGCCTCCATCAGCTGCTTCCTTGACTCGAGCAGGAGTCCTGGGCCAGCTTTCAGGTGAGCTGCTGGCTGGTGTTTCCTCTGGGGGAGAGCTGGGAGCCCAGGTGTTGTCACTCCCGGTAGCAGCTGGCAGCTCCCCCATCCGCTTTCTAACCTGGACGGGCTCAGCCCTGACACCTGCTGGAGCTGCTGTGGTGCTCACAGGAGTGCAGGCTGCCCCTGCTGCTTCCTCCCCACCTTGCCCGAGTAGGCAGGCCTCGCACCAGCTGGCAGCGCCGAAGCTCCCACGTGGTGAAGCCTGTGAGCGGCTCCAGGAACCGCTGCTCCTCACGAGAGCCGCTTAGCTCCCTGGAGTTTACCTAAGTGCAGAGCTTCCGGGAGCGGAACTCTGAACGTGGCCTCAGGAAGGAATCCAGCCCAGAAAACTGTCATTAGCGGCCGCCCGCGCTAGGAGTAGAGGTTCACGGGAGGGTAAGACACGAGCTAAATGGAATGGCGATGGTAACAACAGTCAAGGTTAGCCGAGAACATTCTCCATGCCAGCCACTGGGCCAAACCCTTGGGACTCATGACCTCCCTCAATACAACAGCCTGGTGAGATAGATAGCGGCCCTTTTTCACAGCTGGATAACCTGAGGCTCAAAGAGGTGAAGTAACCAGTCCGAGATCACACGGGCTGAGTGGCAGAGCTGAGACCTCCGCCCCAGAGCTCAGCGCGCCCCGCCAACCCGCTCTGCCTTGCACTGCTCCTCACGAGAGCCGACTGGCCACAGAATTTTCCAAATGCATGTGTCATGTGAAAATCCCACATCTACCACGGATTAGTTGTGCAGACAACTCCAAGAGGCTGGGAAGAGCAGGTTCAGCTCAAAACGACCCTATTCAAGAAGCAGATTCAGGGGCAAGTCCTGGGCAACCAGCCGCTACCACCACTGAGCCCCACTCCCTCAGTCGGCCTGTTTGGGAAGTCGTCTGGGAAGGTGAGACCCAGCTGCGGCGGCCTGAGAAACGAAGGCAGGGAACAAGCAGCCTCAGTGTGGCGAGGAGGAGGAAGGGGCGGGCAGGCTTCCTGCCCTGCGTCATAGGCTGGGTGTTTGCATCACACAGACCTGCTTCCTAAGCCCCACAGTCTTGGCTCCGCCTGCTGCCTTCCTGAGCTGCTTCTGGATTCCAGCCCCGTCAGGCACTAAGTCCAGGAGGTGAGTCAGGACGAGCTGGGAGCTAGAGACGCAGGGCTGCCCAGTTCCCGCCCACTGGCCAGGACGCCGTGCTCCCCATGACCACCTTTGGGCCTGTGTTTCTATCAGGGTGCCCGTTCTCTGGGTGTCCCTTTATTTTCCTCTGCTGTGCATCTTCCTGTCGCCCCACTCTTCCTGCTTTAAGGACCTCAGAGAATACTGAAGGCCCACTTGGCTGGGGCCACAGGGACCACCCCCACCCCTCCTTTCATCCCAAGCATTCATAGTCAAAGAACTGCTCCATTCACTGGAAACGGGTACCTCCCCCAACTGAGCCCAGTGCAGGGCACACGAATATGTGGAAATAGTCTCCCGTTCCTGGTCCTTGTAATCAGTATGGCCTGACTCCTCCACTGGTTTTTAAGGTCCCCAGGGAGAAACAGGATGTCCCAATGAAAAGGGCACTTGACGGAGGAGAGGCCAAAGCTGCTCTGGTGCCTGCAGAGGTCTCAGCCTGTCTTTTGAATCTCGCGCTTGGGGCACGGTCTACACTGAGCCCAAGGCTGTCAGGTCCCTAACACCCCGGGGACTCAGCAGGTGGGACATCACCGGCTACTTCCCATCCCGCTCCCAGCGACCCTCCTGGTTGGGACCGCGGCGCCCTCCGCCCCACCCCAACTCCGCGCCTCGAGTTCCCCCACCCGTCCTCCTGCCGACCCAGGCTTTCCCCCTCCCGGCCCTCAATCCAATCCCAGTTTCCCCGCCCCGCCCCTAGTTCTCTGCTGG